TATTTAACAAACTTGTTTTCGTAAATACATATCTTTTTTTTGATGAGGTATACTCGATTATTGTCATCAATTCGAAATAATCAGTGAAGATCAGGTAATAATCGGATTATTTATAAGGTAGTAATCTTGGCTATAATGACAAGCTTTTTTGTCATTCGGGAATATTATCATCAGAACTTGAGTCGATCAGAGAATTTATAGTGTGTTTAAAGCTAGAACTACGTTCTATAGCTGTCAATTTATATCTTATTTTTATTTTCCAGTTCGTTTCATAACTTCTTCAGATTTTTCAATAATTACATTGCATCAGTTATATACAATATCTTTCCTTTTGTTTAGAAAACCCTTCAAGATGCTTCAAGAAACTCTTTTAGACACTTCAAAAAGCCCTTCGATATATTTGAAAAATCAGCTTCGAAGAAACGGATTTTTTGATAAATTTCATTCATCAAGATTTTTTATATCAAAATGCAAAAACATTTTTAATTCTTTCCTTTTTACTAATCCTAATAAAACTTAAATCGCAGATTGTTATACATACTTGTCTCACAAGTCACTGTAGCATGATACAAAAAAAACATACTAACTCATATAAAAGAACCAAGATGACCTGCATATCTCCTAAGCGTCTAGACTTAGAAAAAATTGGTATCGCTGTACGATAGTCGTTAGTCGGCTATGTAACTATTGATTTTCCATCCAATTACTTTAAATCATATAGATTCAGATACAATTAAATAACGAATGTAAGTATTTAAACTTCCGTTAAAAGTATTTAAACTTAATTTAACGCTCTTTCAAAGTGTAACGCGTCATTTTCGTAACTGTCAATGTATTAACTAAAACGTCGTCAAATATGACTGACTCACCATTTAACAGACAAAAATGGCGCGCGATTCGAAATTCACGTTTTTGCTGAGACACCCTTCATTATCGTCGGGGCACGTCAAGAATTCCCGCGGGCTCGTGATCCGTTCGTGCACGTGAGGCCATCGGAATCAAACGATAAATCGTTTGTAATTGCTGCGCCCCTGTGTCCACGCTGTGCACGTGCCAGAGTTGAGCAGAATTTTATTCGAATAATACACAGTGAAAAGCAGCAGTATCTAAGGGTGTCGTCCTGAGCTCTATACAGTTAATGAGATTAAATAATTGTTCGACAAATGTCGATACATTCATAAAGAAGTACTATTTTATTATAAAAATTGAAATTTCCACGTTTAAACAATTAAAAATGACGAAATACTTTTTTTATCTTTTATTCGTTATTCGAAACTTTTTATCTAGATAATGAGTTTGCCCACCTCTGGCACGTGCTTTCGCCGTGGTTTGTGTTCGCCACTGTTGTTTTCCCGTCGATCATCGAGCCCACGGCTCGCGAAGAAATTAAATCAACGCGCGAGCACGCACCGATTACTTAACAGAAGCCAATCAATGACACGCGTTCATCTGGTCTGGCCTTATCGGTTCATTTCGCGCCACGCATTGTTTCGCGCGTCGCGAAATGTTTTAACGACGGAATATTACTCGGTCGATGATGGGGGAGAGGGCAGGAATGTTGATCGAATAAATTTCGCGTGGACACGCTCCAGCGAACGTGCCCATGCAAATGAATGTTAACGTACTCGCCAGCTTGTCTCGCGTCGTTTATTTGAAGTCCGTATGAAACATAGTGGGACCGATCACGTTTCCGACCTATATTTGCATGATTTTAATGGGACAGTGGATGAGTTTGTACGACGGGTGTAATTTGTTAGTCGAACTGGAACTGACAGAAACACATTTTTAATCGATTTTATTAGGTATTCTATAGCTATTTAAGGCAGAGTTCTTATTGTAAGGAGAATCCTCGTTGAGTGTTCGAAGTCGCCTCGGCATTGAACATTAAATATTTTATAAACTAATTGTCATATGCATCAGAAATAAATATCATCGGATTCATAATTCCAAGTTCTATCACTGTGCTAAACCTCATTAAAAAATTCCTGTTCTCTTAGATAGATCAAAATACAATCATCCTGCTAAATTTAGTTTCATCGTAGGTGTGTTTTACAGTTACGAACAACTTTTCGTCACAGACTGTATATTGACGTCGATCGACACTTCGTTCATAATTGTGAATATGGAAATATTCATGGATCATTGGTCACGATTCAATTCATTCATGAATAGAAATTAATGATTATACGTGGGTTTCTGAACAAATCATTCGTTCTCATTAAGTCCCTGCACGTAATCGACCATTTTACATATTAAGTTGTATCATATGAAATCACAGTTTCTGTAGGTCGAAACGGAAATGCAATGTTTTTGAAAACTAATTTTTATTTGTTTTATGGATGTATACAGCATCATTATGAATAGTTTTCTACGAACGAATAACTAATTGATATATTCCATTTGTATAAACATTGGTGTTTTTAGATTATACGAATTCTTCAAATACAGCATTTAGCTATTCTGGATGTGAGAATGTTTCGCCCCTTTTAGATGGGGTTCCAGGGGCCACAAAAAGTGATCTTCTGTTGGGAAAACATCTGGTGAATCTTACAAATGACGCAAGATTTCATAATTTAACTGAGTTCATTTTGCTGTGGCCCTATTTACGTTTATATATATTGCAGAAATTATATTTTCGATACAATATTGTTTAATTGTGTAGAATAGTTAAACAGTCACAAAAAGAATTCAATGATCAAATGAAATAGACAAGCACAGTATTGTTATAATTTCTGACTAGCACAAAAATCCATGTAGATTATATTTAAGTTATTAAGCACGGTCAACTACTTATTATTCGTATATCAGCAATTTCATTTGCTACTATCTAATACTTTAGATTAAGTAAATTATTTTAGATTACTTAGATTGTATTTTGTTTGAGATTATTGGATATCTATTAGGTTAAGAGACTACACCTAGTTTATTCAAAAAAGTATTGTTATCAGTGGTAGTGATAAGAGAACGCACACAAAAGTAACCATGCATGGTCAATATTTATTTTAAACGAACTTACTTACATTAAATTAATACTTTATTGAATATCGCGACTCTGTTACTGTAAGTTTACTGTTCAGGTGATTGTAATATTATTAATTCGTGAATTAAATTCATGAAAAATTCGCAACTAGACTGTACTGTATATAAATTGTTGGTATTACATTAACTGAGAAATTGCTGTCACAAAACATGTGGCAAAAAAATTAAGATCTGCATTTGGGTCAAGTTGACCCGAACAATACATGGGGGTTAAACGACGGAATAAAAATACATTACTAGATTGATTTGCTAAAGTAGTCACATTCTGCAGAGTGATCGGTTAAGAAGAACGAGTTCGAATTATAAGAAGGACAGTGGACGAATAAAAGTGTAAAAATAGATAATAGGGAGCAGACTCTACTCAGTAGAATATAAAATCAGTGAGTGATGTAGCAGAGAGTAGATAGTAATAAATAGACTGCTCTTTAAAATTCAGTATAGTGAACAGAAAATGGTGTACAATTTTCAAAAATCATTATCAATATAAATGAAACAGTACAGATACTTGATCTAAATAAAAACGAATACTGATTTCGTCAAGAAATAGTGAATTACTTATTGGTAGTCCTAATACTAACCGTGACATATATGGGCAGTCCGAAACGTATGAATTTCTATTATAAATATATCAATTTCTATAAAAAGAAAATTCTTGCACTTTTGGACAGAAAATTTGAAAAATATTTGACCTGCAAGGGGTTAAAGGAACATTTTCGATTCAACATAGTTACTACAATTTCCATAATAAATCTCTTATATCTTAGTGCATTCCTTGAGTCGGATTCGATACGCAGGATTAAAAATCCGTTTGTTATTTGCGGCGTCGTTATCCACGACGATACAAACGGTTGTTGTGCAAAAGCAGGCTCTGTTAATAGCGGAATAATACAGCGGAGAAAATCGAAGGGAAGCACGTCTGGACAGATGTTCGGTCACGTTTCCGTGGGAAACTGGATCGTGCATCTTGCGTTGAACTCCGGCGCGACCTTAATTCGATCGGTTGTTACCGAAGAAAAGCATGATATACGCCGTTGTTTATGATTAATTCACGGACGCGTGCGGTATATTTTTTTATCTCGTCTATAAAGATTTACAGAGTGATGATTTATAGCCCTATTATGGTGGCTCCCGCAAATTTTTAATAATTACATATTTGTGTGTGAAGAATGATTCATTTCTGGCCAAAGAAATTTGTGAGTGGTGTGTGTAACATGTTACAAATTGATGAAAGATGACACGTCACGGTTTTGGCACCGATTCTTGTTCATTCACCATATTGTTTGCGTGTTGTTCCAATGAAAACACGCGAAAAATGGAATCATCAATATAGCGAGTATTAATACACATATAAGACACTTTTACAGTGTGGATTCTACAGGACAAAGAAAGTTTAAAATCAAGAACGATCGAAAATCGTTTTCGAATTATTAATTGTTGAAAATATGGACGAAATACGCATGAAAAATGGTTTGGTCGATGCCCTAGTGAAACAAATGAATTAAATAAAATGAAACAAAATAAAATAAAAGAAACAAACTGAAATAAAATGTAATGAATGAAGGCAACTGGTAAAACTGTTGAAGAGTGCGCCTCTCAAGTAGAATAACCCGTCGCGTCAGACGAAGCTTCGTACGCAATTTCGTCATTCTTAATTTTAGTCTTAATTTGTAATGTAGAATCAATCCTGTGAAAGTAACCCATATTTTTATAAACACCCCCTACAAATTGAACAAAGTAGTTCACAGAAAACAAAATTTAAATGGATACTTATTCGTCCTACTAGTTTTTATTACATTAAACGTAAACCAAAAGACTGTATTAAACTTCAATAGAATAAAAATTTTGTTCATTCTGTTGAACTACATCCGTTATAAAACAGATTCTATTATCGTCATAATTCTTAATGTCATAGATTACAGTTTCGATATTGTATTAATAAAATTTAAAAATTTTTGTTACAGATGGAAATGCATAATAGTCCCAACTTGAAGAAGAGTTCCTTGCGTGGTGATGAAATGACGCTCAGAGAGCCTCACAGGTAGAGTACCTAATTTTTAGCGTGACTGCATGCTTATGCAAATATAGACCTTTCGCGTCCATTTTACAACAACTGGCATCAAATCTTTTCTTTTTATTCTATTTGGGATTCTATTAGGTCCCAAATAAAATGGAGACTTCGTCAAACTTCTTTAAATACTTGTGTATATTGAGGTATAAACAATAATGAGCTATAAATACATTGAATAAAAATTTTAGTGATTAGTTTTCTTCACTATATTGCATTAATAATCTTTATCATTTGAAAAGAGTACATTTCTAAGTGTACAACGCCATTGTATTGACGTAACTTCTTCATATGTGTTTAATTCACAATAACATTACATCTTAATTATATACTGTCACCTGGATGAGTCAATAATTCATTATGTTACAATGTTATCTAATTGCAGTTTGTGCAACGACAGTTCCACTAATCAGACAACTATTATCATAATATGCACGTGCACCAGTCTCTTCATTAGTCTCATCCTGTTATTCATCTTTAAATAGTATTCTCTGCACCTTGTAGCACTTCTATTTAGGTTAATGACAGATAAATACTTTGAAAATTGCACATTATATAGCCTGCTAGGCTTCTATAAAATAATTGTTTTCTTTTTTTTTAATTAAATTAAATTCTATAAATAAATAAATCAGTTAAGTGTAACACACTGGTTTTAACGAAATTTGGCATAAAGGTAATATATTGAAAAATATTCAAATTAGGGCGGGGTGAAATACATATATTTTCCTGAATACCTCACGACTTAGAAAAAATGTTTGTTCAGAAAAATTGGGTGTTCTTTAATAATAAAAATAACTACATACATAGTTCTTCCAAATACCCCTTTGTTAAAAAAATATATCGAAAATTAATAACGTTTTCAACAATTTTCTTACTAATTGATGATTCATTTTTGCTTAAATTCGTTAATAGATAGTAGAGACCACTTCAGAAATACGAATTGTTAGTTCGATCGATGTAATCCGTAATATGTTTTATTCGAGTGTAAAAGGAATCGTTCTCACTGTTTAAATTGGAACGTACAAAAAAAGGCTTGATCTTCAGAAAGATTGTGTTTTATCCAGATCATCGATGCCCGAAATACCAAGAGGAATAAGACTGGTGGCATTAAACGGACAAATTGCGAAACGCGAATGTTTATATACGTGTTCCTCTTTCAATGGTAAGAGCGGCAGCCAAAATGTGTGACGTAGCCCCTTGGCACCCGACGATATTTCTTCGATCTAACGTCGAGACATGAAACCAGCACGGCATTCGTTTCGGTTTTCGCCTATTAATTCATCTCTCGATACTGACAATTCAATGGAAACACAGTCGCAACGAGGCGAGTCGATGTTTTCCCATGTGCAACTCACGCGTTATGCAATCGAGATTATCTACGATCTACGAAGATTTACAAACACTTCCAGATGCACGGAAATTGTATTTGTAATTGTTTTTTGTTCCTTCAGGATTTACCTTGATAACGTGTATTGTTGACTGGAGGAATTTGTATTGCGAAACTTTTCCTGTTTGTGTGATTAACATCACCATGTATACCACAAGCCACGGATAACATTTTTGCTAAGGAAAAACTTGTTTCAAATCACCTCATGGGATTCCCATTTCCGGGTTTCCAAAATTTTTGTTACACTCTGTATGTACGAGGTACATTCAGAAGGTCCGATCAGCTCTTGCCAATACACTCTTACAACAATGATTAAAATATTATAACAATGCATTTTCTGAGATCTTTTGTAACTTTTTTTAATTTATAAATTTGTAAATTTTCAAAAGTTTGCCATATTTATCGATTCATCGAAAAAGATATGATTAAAATGAACGTTGCACCAGTGCAACACTGGGAGTTAAAGGGTTTAGAAGCTGAATAGACGAACGTGCCGTGTGAGGTCGCGCGTTATCGTGAAAAAACACAATCCCAGGTGACTGCATTCCACGTCTTCTGCTCTGAATGTACGCGTCTCAGTTTCTGTAAGGTTTCATAACATGTATCAGCATTTCGTAATGTTGACGGGCTGATGACTGGAATGACAAATTAGCAGAAGTTACTGGTGGAAGATCCTTTTGATGCAGGCTTAAAAAAAGCTGGTGCCACGATACACCAATAGCGTGGAAATCAGTGGTAATTATGCGGACTACCGAGGAGGTTTTTGAAAAAAAAAAAAACGAGAATTGTGGTAATGGTAACAGTTTGAAGAAAAATGTGCTGATTACCATGACAAAAAATATTCTCTTTATTCTTCAATAATGGTTCGATTTATTTATAAAAGCCTCCGTGAGCCAATTAAGAATGTTATTTAGAATACGTGTGTCAAATATGAAGTTTTGAAAAATGCTGTTTCGAGAGAAACGCGTTTGAAGTGTTAGAAGAGTTTTAAAGTTACGTCAAATGGAAATCGTATGATTTTTTTGCAATTTGTCGGAATCGCGAAGAAAATAGTAATGGTCGTCTTTTACAACTTTTTAATCCGAGGCTATAATGAAAAATTAATAAATACATGGATACTTTTTTCTAAATTCGAAGGTTACACACTTTTCCTCGCTAAATAATTTGCATGCGTCATTAATTGTTCATTAATCATTCGGCTATTCCTAGCGTGCAATGTGTGAAACCGCTTACTCACCAGTCGATTTGGCTTTACATTGTAAGGAGATTTTTCTTGTTAGAAGAGGAAACTGACATTTAAAATAACGTTTACTTTTCCTCGACGCTACAGAGTTAATAACGAACGCTCACATATAAACTCCATAATACTTTATTTATGATTTTGACATTTATAGTGGAACGTAAATAATCATAGTTTAACTAATAAAATTCTATGAAGTTTAATGACTTATGAAGTGCCACCAAGCAAGACAACATTTCACATACAACGACCTGATAATGACTAAATACTGTGTCCTGTAATTATTTACTGACGTACGTAAGTACGTAGTTGCGGCAACGTTGATATGGAAATGATGAAATTCGTTTAATTATAGTGATTAGTTCGTCGAACACGGCCGTTTCCTTGTGGTCGCGTGGGCTTCGAAAATGAAAATCAGCTGCGATGGTCAAAGAATTATAAATAACGCGTGATAAATTCAGTGCTCGTTTCTTGTCCAACAGGGGAAGCGACCGAATTATTTGTTCGATTTAAAAAGGCGTTCTCGACGTGTGTCCAAATGGCGGTTCACCTTGAGGTGTTAATGTCGGATCGTGCATACAGGATACAGGATTCTTGTAATAAAGGTCGGGGAATTAGACTGTCAAGTTACTTTCACTACTTCGATCCATTCTTTCGAACTTGTGCACTGACCATGATACACATTCTACCAAGAATTACTTTAATGTGTTTCGGAAGTTAGGAGGTGCTATAAATGCATAAACATTTATAACGTTAGCATAACATTGTTAACGTTTTATCGGGCCACCCAGTATATTAAAAATGAAAGTCTCTTGCGAAAGGATCGGTGCATCTACAGATTTGTATTTTCGCTATTTTATTCCACGGTCTAATTACCAAACTAACTACAATAGCGTTATTACTGTTACTCGAGAAGAATTCCGACATTGGCCGTTGTATCAGTTTTTACAATGGTGAAAGTGTAAATATTTACGTCAGAGTAGGTACTCGCCAAACACACTTACTAACGCCAAGGTGTCTACGATAGGACGTTGAAGCAGTGGGGATCGTAAATCCTGCCGAGCAACTGGTTTAACGTTCATGGGAAAAGTCAGACGTAACTTTATACAGGAACAGAGTCGACAGGTTCGCAATCTAGTTGCACTTGCTGCAACCAGTTTCGAGTATCCGTAACATGGTGGCATTCAATAAGTAGAAATGTCATTAGTGCTCCATTACGTCATAGGTAATTACGATAGTGGGACGTCTCCTTTGGTGAATTTTTATTATATGCATGCTCTAACTGTTCTAAGTATATGCACGCAATTATTATTTAAACTGTTGCTATAAGGTTAAGATTGTAAAAGATTCATTTTTTTTAGAAAGGCTTAACTTTGTAATAAATTTATTTATTTGTCACATACAAGGTGCCATAAAAGAAGCATTTGTTTTTAAATAATTTTTAAACGAAACAATATTATTTTATTTTATTATTGTTTATTGAATAAATGAGATAAGTCCCATTAGCGTACATAAATATGTATATGTATAAGATTAACACCTAAATAGTTCATAGCCGATAATAAAGAGACTGTTTTAATTATTTTTATTATTATTTATATTATCATCATCGTCATCATCATTATTATAAAAATCCATAGACTACTACTTATTGTACAACGTATAACGATATTGAAACAAATGATTTATTTCCCAGAAATGGCAGCACGTACGGAGCGTTCCAGTCGAAGGATCCCATTTTGGCGATCGAGAAGGGCGGCGAAATGGAAAACGGAAACAGCGAGCATGAGATTTCCGTGAGTCATCCGACCTCGTAAGTTGAACAACCGTAAAACATTCTCGTCCGTTTGTCTCTTCGTTTCTTTCCATGCGATTCCAGCGTTTGGCCTGTTTGTCGAACGATCTCTCAGACTTTAACCCCTTAACGCGCACGCTCGAGTTAACTCGAGCGGACGATACATGCAGAAATGTGTACACTCGAATTAACTCGAGCAGGTATAATTTTGTCTTACCATAGTGTACATGCTCCAATAAATACGGGCAATGACAAATAATCTTAGGAAAGTCACGATTTTATAAAAGCAGGATTATTATTTCAGTATTTGTGAATCATTTTTGTAACTTTTCGTAAACCTAAAGTCGCCAGGGAAAAATCTTACTCTTCTCGTGAATCGGTCAATCCTCGGAAATCTTCACGCGTATACAGGATGTCCCGTCGAATTGGGACTAACTGTACCCTTGACAGTGTTTGACAGATAAAAAAAAATAGTGAGACGTCGAATCTAATGATAACGAATGACCGTGTTTTATATGCCACATTCTGGCCGTTGGCGGAAACCGCTTTCGTTTTATGGAAAGTCATTACCGAAGAATTCGATGATTCATATTTCTCGGTATACACGTACCTGTTATGATCTAGCGAAAATACGATTTTAACAGGAAGTCAATTTTACCGGAGAGAAGGTAGTAAGAAAATTTTATGCATTTCCTGAACATTTATTTCTGAGATGTTGATGTACATGAATATTCCTTTTACTCAGTATGAAATATTCAAATAAATTCAGGGATTGAATAATTTAGAATGAATAAACGAAGGTAGAAATAATATAACATCGACACCAAACAGGTTACTCACTTCGAACGATGAAATCTATCAACATCAAAGAGCTCGCTTACTTCTCACCATTAAATTCATCGTCAACAGAAAGTTTGTTTGGTTTTAATTGTAAACTTCCACATCAGAGCCAGTGCAATGACGTTCCAATAAAAATTCTGTCAAAACAAACTTATTCCACTTCCATTATTTTTTACCTACATTTCTGACGATGACATATTATACTAAAAGAGAGGAAGTAATTTAACGTATCGTGACGCTGTGATCAATCAGGATAATCGTAGTTTTCCGCAACACTCGTACGTGTATTATTTTCCATGGAAGATCCCAGCAATTTCGACCCATTCTGTGGTTCGAACTCTTTTTTCCTTCCATCTCCACTTTATAACAACCGGATAATCTCTACGAAGTAATCTGTTCTATGAAGTTGTTGTCGGTGCGTTTGTTGTATCACGCCTGCTACATCTAGGTCCGTCATTTTTCTCGGCGTAATTGTCGCGAGTAATTAGAGTACAGTACTCGGGACCTTGAGGTATCGCGTGTTAAATGATCTTAACCTCGAATTCCGCTTACTAAACGAGATTTACCACTTTGTCCAGCATTTTATTAACACAAGAGTGACATAATCCTTTCGAGCGGTTTAAAAATTTATTTTTATTGTAAGATGTTTAATGAAATAAATTTGGTTAGGACACATGATATTCGAAGATTATCACATATGACTCGTATAACGTCGAACGTATCCCTCGTGTAATTCGAGGGTCTACTATAACTTGAAGTTTAAGAATTTAAAACAATGATTCATTGTACGCGTTGACTCAGGGTTGGTTTCTAAATATACGGTAAGGTTGATAACAGAGACACAGTGTACTGTACTCACCGTGATGCTTAATTCAACGACTTTGATTGCCTGTTGTTACTTCATTAGAGTATGCTAACCCTTGCTCTTGTGCATGATTTTATTTTCACGAAGTTAGTGAATATGGGGTGGCTACTTTTTGAAAATAAGAAGTACTTAAGTCTCATAAGATGAAGTCAGAAGTATTTCATTAATAAATTTTTCATTTACATTACCTATTAGAAATTTTAGATTTGTAACCATGAAATGCGTATTATTTACTTATACAACAATTTTTAATAATAATACTTTTATCATGCAACGTTAATAATAAGAATATTTTTACTGTCTAACGTTATCAGTAATAATATTTTTCTATTGTCAAGTAGGAGTTGTATTTCATATTATTTTAATATTATTAATAATAGTAATAATTAAGCTGTGAATTTCTTGCACTTAGATTCAGTGTTTCATCTGAAATCTGCTAAAATCCTTAACAGTTTTTTTTACCACCAAGTCACCCATACATAAGTGGCATAATTTTTTAAATTAAAAATTAATTTTTATGGCAATATACCCAATCAAACAAAAAACCAATAAAATTCGATAAGGTTAAAACAAATCTTGGTTTACAAGTAGCTGTATCGTTAAAAGAATTGCCCTCACTTCATGGATTTCTCATGTGTGTTAGTTTGGAAATTGAACGTGTTAAACAATTTTTCTTTCTCATTCTTCTAGAAATAGCTAGCTATTATTGAAGCAGTACCGTGAAAGAAGTCGTTGCATGTCCACTTTCACGTTCAATTTACCACACATAGTGCATGGAATCACTTTTAACGACACGAATATGTTTAACCCCTTCCTCGTTTTGTCTGGTGGTTTTAAATTACGGGGAGGACGAAATTGTCCAATTTTTTAATAACACCGTTATTGTTGGCACGCTCGAACGCGCTTCGTCTGACAACCTTTTTCGCTGTATTATGCACGACAGTCACGCGCGCAAGTAATTTCCTTAATTTCCGAGCACGCGCAACATTAATCAAAATCACAATATGAAACAATTCGCTGGAATGTAAATGCCGTGCACAATAATATATGCTAATTCTGCTGAAAGTGTTCTTGCATTGTGACGGCTCTTTTTAAATGCTATCAACTTGCCAACGAGTTTACGTACGACGGGTAACGAAAGAATTTCACATAATATACGAAAACACCTTGATGAGTTCAGTAATTGAAAAATGAAAAATTTGAAATCCATCATTTTTGGGAGCTTTCATTGCTAAAACTTTGCATGACAAAAAGTTTACTGAAATTTCATAGGATTTTTATTTAATTTGGAACTCAACAGAACCTTTAATAGAGTAAACGAATTTTTCTGACACCAGTTTCTGTTAATTAAACTACAGGATTCTATGATTACATAAACATAGTAATCATGTCGAACCTATACAAATAATGAATTCGTTAACGAGAGGCGTTTGGTTCTTTATGGCAATTGTGTGTAAAAAATTTCTTGCGAGAGTACATATCGCACCGCCGCAAGAAAAGTGTGACAAGTCGGAAATATATCATTTTTCAGTATAGCTGGAAGAAACTGCTCCATCACGCAGCACTTCATAAAAACATTATGCAGTACTTAACCTATTAGTTGGTATCACCTGTCGAAGTAGACGAGGTCAAAAAATGGACATTTCGTGTAAACATTTTATCAAAAATTTTAGTCTTCGTTTTAGCGCCAAAGTTAACGACTGAGTCTCGAGTAAAGTTAAAGGAACCATTGATTATTTTATTTTCAGAATACTTTCCTTGCTGTGAATTAAAAACTCAAAGTGTATACCATTCATAAATCAATTTATTTTTAAATACAGTGGAAAGTCTCGACTAAACGTTTTATGTATTCATTTCCCTGGACAGTGAGGTAGTCAACGAACATGATTAACGAGCGACATCGGAACCTAGCCTCTCCTTAGAACCGCAAAAGCCTAAGACGAATCTCGAAATAAATATTTTGGCATAAGGTCTCATTGGTTCGCGTAATATCCACATTTAACTTTTCATTTAGCGGATCGTCCATGACGTCGAATATTAATAGGATTTTAATCGATTGCGTAATTACGGGAATCATTGAAACGTTGATTCACATCCGAGCTCTGACCACAAAACAACTTTCATTTCTTTCCTATTGATATTTTAAAATTACACCAGTACTTTAATTAAACTTCCGACTGTCCAAATTTTTACTGAAACACTAATTATATCCCGACTAACTCCCAACTGTTGGATATCGTTGGCCAACCATAAATGCTACTAGGGTATCTTGTCGGTAGTCAAAACACGTGTATTACAGTGTATTTCATCTTCTTCAATATGGTTTCCAATGGTAGAAGATATGACAAAATAAATGGACGTTATTGGCCCAGTAAATTCGAATTCCGGAAAAACGACATTTCATGTGCACCAACCCTAATACTTCTTCGCGACACGTTTGCCACACTGTGCAAACCGGAACGGGCCACCACGGCGAAAAAACTGCAAAATATTTATAGGTCGACGAGTCGCATGTTTCAAAAGGAATTTGTCCACTTTATTTCCGTCCCGAATTTTCTATTTCCGTTCATTCCTCTTATGCGAAGAATGGTTAACAGTCTCCCACGGATTTGCCGGACACGTGTTTATACGGTCAGGTCGGAAAATTGCGTTGGACGCGGTCGGCAGAACGTTTTCAAACTCGGCCGGGCCAGTTCATTCGCCGCCGATTTTAAATTAGCTCGCGCGACGGGACAGGGGAATGCTTGGAAAATTTGCTGTCAACTCTCCGCCCGGCCTTTGTGATGCTGAATTGTGACGCTGACCGGCTCCCCGGGCGTCTAGAATAACTCCTTGTTGAAAACGAAAATGGGAAAAATTGCACGTCCTGTGTCTAATGAAGTCATCGAACCGAGAACCAAAAAATGTTAGGTTCTTATTGTGATATATATAAATGGAAATTATTGGAATAAATGATGTTTTAAAAAGTAATGTTTGAAAAGTTAAATGAATAGATATTGTTTTTCAGTTGAAAAGATGTATTATTAAACTGGAAACGTAAAATAAATTTGTGAATTTCCAAAAGTGTCATGTTTATCGATCGATCGAAATAGATATGCGTTTATCGGTGATAGTTCTAGTGTTAACACACACAGAGCACGCATTGATAATCATATTAAAATATGGCATATTTGTAGTGATAAATAATAATGGGAATATATGAATATTTTCATTGATTAATTAGTCTATAAATCACTCCAAGAGACAAGAATGCGTTTGAACGCTTCATACATTCTACTGAAACATGCCGTATTATTTCTGTAATGTAGACCGCTACTCATGACCGATAAATTATTACAGGTATTTAGAAACAATGATGCACCTGTTCAAAGGTAACGTTGGCTCGGGTATATTTGCGTTGGGGGATGGCTTCAAGCACGCCGGACTACTGTTGGCCCCGCCGCTAACAATCTTCTTGGGCATCATTTGTGTTCATGCGCAGCATATTCTCGTAAGTAAAATGTACTTTTCTCTTGTAACGAGCATTTTAAAACGAACCAGACATCTTATGTACACTGCCTGAAAGAATTAATCGTTCGCCAATGTGGGTGATCCTATTGGGCCCACCAAAAAAAGAAAAGAAAAAAAGACAAATGCCTTAACCCTCAAACACCGCACTAGTGCGAATTTGTAGCAGTGTAACATTGTTTCGTGTGCAGCATTCTATCTGGCTAGCAAACGGTTTCCTTCCATGACGATAAAAATTATTTTACCCTTTTGCAATTATTACCATTGAATTTCTTCTGAAATTTTATCCTGAAAAATATATTATGAGTTCAATTTCCCATAGACACGCCAATGGAATAACAAATTCTGGTCTATTGTCACAGGTGAGATGCAACGAAGAGGTGACGCGACGAGTGAACGATCCGGTCGCCACGTCTGGATTCGCCGGTACCGTGGAAATGTGCTTCGCCACCGGCCCTCTTGCACTCCGAAAATACTCCGTGTTCATGAGGTTCGTATGTGTGTCAGGGGAAGATGAAGCAGAGACACCATCGACTGTTTGTTTGGCGTAATACCGAAATCCGTTTGATGTTATCGTTTTAGACGATGCATAAGTTGAAGGAAATTGCGAATCGCGAAACCGATTACCGGCACGAACGAAATTAATTTTGTTATACTTCAGCAGAAACTTTTTGATTTCCTCTTCATTGATTTCGAGTATCACGTGGACCATTTGAGTTTAATATTATATAGTGTGATTCAGGATTCTCTTTCCAATTCCATTTTTAGAATTGTCCCTCTCGTTTTACAACGATGGTTTTCTCATTATTTACATTGTCGTTCATCCATTTGTTCCAGAAAAGTGGTTAATGTATTTTTATGTATCACGCAACTCGGATTTTGCTGCGTTTATTTCGTTTTCATCGCTACCAATATGAAGCAGGTGAGTGTTAGAATTGATTTCTCTATACCTACATATTTCTTACTTACGGTCATCTTTATTTTAAGTAAGCTGATTTCTTCGCCCTTAAGGTCACTTCAACGTCATGGTATGTAGGTCGTCGAACTCATCTTGACGCCGACTACCACATCGCGTTATAAAAAATACAAGTTAATATGCAAAAAAATACGATGACCTTGAAAAAACCGTTAAAATGACCTTCACAACTGACCCGTTGTTGGCTGTCCACGATGGTGTTGGGTGGTCAACCCTTCTGACGACCTAAACGACTATACAGGGTGTCAATAAAAATGTGAGACACTTTCGCAGAATGGATTTTACATGTGAAACTAAGACGAAAATCAGGAATGATGGAATTGCGTTCGATGCTTCCTTTCCGAAATATCAATTGTTGAAGATATCGGCGAAATACGCGTGAAGTATGTACGTTATTCTACTTGATAGGCGCGTTCTTCAACTGTTTCACGAGTTGGTTTCATCCGTTTAATTTTTTACCATTTTCGTCAATTTCCTTTTATTTCTTTCTATGTTCTTCCATTTTCCTCAATTATTCTTGAATTTTGTGTTAGTTTGGCATATACAGGGTGTCCCGTAACGAGTAGTACAAGCGAGCAGGGGAGTGATTCTACGTGAAAAACTGAATCTCGGCTGCTGCGTCTGTTCATTACATTCCGTTTCTACTTATTGCCAGCATAGATGAATCTTCACACTCGATTTCCTCGAAAATGAAGCCCCAAATAAAAAAATGTTATTCCATATTTTCGACTTATTTTTATTAACACCCTGTATATAAAATGGACTGTGAATATACATTCGAATACTCGAACGAAATGCGATGATTGCAGGTATTGGACGTGCACGGGATCGAGATGGACGTCCATCAGCACATGGCTGTGATCCTGATTCCCATAATGCTCAGCACATGGATAAGGAATCTGAAGTACCTGGTGCCCGTTTCTTCGCTGGCGAATTTTCTAGTTATCGCGGGCTACATCGCCACCATGTATATAATGTGCCACGATCTGCCACCGATCCGCGAGAGGGATTACGTGGCCAGTTGGCACGATCTGCCACTGTTCTTTGGCACTGTGATATATTCTTTCGAGGGTATCACTTTGGTAAGCATCAACACGTGCTCGGCCGTGTTTATGTAACATGTATAAATTTGGCGACAAGCGATTCCTTCCTCCAACTAGACGCACCTCTGAACTTTCCGACGCTAATTAGGAAATAAATCAGTAACGGTTTATCACTCTGATTAGTGGTGGACAATCAAACTGTTTGGACATTTCGTCAAGTGTTCGTATAAGTCCAAACTATTTGAACTGCGTCCAGTCGTTTGAAACGTTCAAAATGTCCGAACATTCGTTCATTAAACACAAGTAATGTGAAGTTTCAGAATAGACTTTGTGTTTTATCTTATACACGATTGTTTGAAAGTCACTGCATTGAAAAGTTCAATAGATTGTAATGAAGTTTTCATACTATGTAGAATTTGACAGAATCTTTAATGAGATCAAAATGATTCTATTTAACTTCATTTTCTATTTTTTACTTCATAAAAATCTATATTTGCATAAGCTTTCGCAGTGTATTTATGAATAATCGAACAAACGCTGCTGCTCTGTTTTAGGTTTTACCCCTGAAGAATGAAATGAAGAAGCCGAATAATTTCAATAAGCCACTCGGTGTCTTAAATGTCGGTATGGTCATTGTGGGCACCATGTTCGTCGCAATGGGTTTCATATCGTATTTAAAATACGGCGACGCAGTGGCTGGATCGGTCACATTAAATCTCGAAACAAAAGAAGTGTAAGTATAAATTTATTCTTATCACTTCTATCTCACCATATATCTTATTTATTACTCGCTTAATAAAATCTTACATATCAATATTCGATTGTACATGTTAATCACTCGCTAGACATGTTTTAAAATCATTTCAATAAAAAACGTATACGCAATTCGTTGCTATTAATCGATTTCTGCAAAATTCTCAATGCCAGAAAGATGAGGCAAGTGATTAGCACAATGTTTTGTAGTATAAGGATTAAAGTACCAATGGTTTATTTAATTGATGTTAAATCGAAATCGCTCTGCCGACTCTACAATAGATTATTATGCGTCCAGGTGATAAATCCTACTGCGTTAAGAATAATCAAAATTCTGTCAAACAAAAACGATAGCGAAAAATAGCGAGAACGCAAAGCGTAGTTAAGAGAAACTCTTTGTAACATAATTTTCTGTTGCATACGAAGGGTGGATGGAAAAATCGTCGTCGGGCATTCAAGGTTTCTACCATAATACATAGTTCTATTTACAAGTGCTGTACTATTCAGATGCTACTTACATTAGACGAGAGTTTTTATTTTTGTTGAATTTTTATCCGTTCGAAATCATTAACCCTTTAAGGTCTAAATAATATTGGTGCGCCAACTGTGGACTGGATATTTTTGCATTAAATACCTCTTTCACTTTTGATCTCTATGATACTACATACATTAAACCATTTCCATGCTATATTCAGAAATTACCAGGGTGATGGTAATTTTTGGATTTTTTAGACATAAATTTAATGTTAAAATAGGTAAAGTACATGAAAGTTAAAGTATTACAAATTAAGAAATTTACAAATCCGTAGCGAACGTTTCGTCGAAAGCCCACATGTGAGTCCACAGGCCTGAAAGGGTTAATAAACACGGATTTTATTTGTGACTTTTTTTGCATAGTCGTCTAACGTTGCATGTTGCGTTACCTTAACAAACAAAGACTTTTGGTTTCGTGTCAACAAATAATCCTATTGTTTGATTATCTGTAAACGTGAAAATGGTAATATAAATATTGAAACGTATCTTGACATAAATGCAATTCCATTTCTTTTACAGTTTACCTCAGTGCATAAAAATTGCCATCTCGTTGAGTATATTATTCACGTATGCATTGCAATTTTACGTTCCTGTCGCGATCATGTGGCCACAAATGGTGAACCAATTTGGCCCCTTCAAGTGGCCAATTGTAGCAGAGACTGTTTTCCGTTCAGCGTTATGTTTTCTCACATGTGAGTATGTCATGTTACATTGCAATTTTTCACAATTTACGGCCGTTTTAGTTCTAAGGCGCCTTTAACCACTTATAACATCGAGTCAGACACATGATGACGATTTCAAACTGGATTTAATAAACATGTATATACCATTAATTTTCTTTCAGTCGAAGTGAAATTCTGTTTCATTAGTATTAATATTTAAGATTTAGAGTAAATAATATACTTGGCCTAAGAATAAAATTCCTTTTGTATCTAGGAAATTATTAACGATAAAGTAATGCTTAAAAGTACAGCCGTCAAAAAAATCGTATGGCAAGGGGTTAAGCCGTCTATAAAGCGTCATTGGGCGTCATGTGCTATTTGAGTATGTTCTCGAACAAATATTAATAAATATCGTGTCGTTTCAGTCATCCTAGCAGAGGCAATACCTCAACTGGGTCTGTTCATATCGTTGGTGGGTGCAGTGAGCAGCACCGCGCTGGCGCTCATCTTTCCTCCAATCATCGAGATGGTCGTTTGCTGGCAGAACGCGTCCCTCGGGATCTTCACGATCGCGAAGGATGTCATGATAGTGGTGATCGGACTGTTAGGTTTCGTCACCGGAACGTACGAGAGCCTCACGTCCATTATTCAGGCGTTTAGCAAGTAATTTAATTTAGCCGTTGTATAAAGTTGTTAATAATTTTTACCTGTACACACGCGCGCGCGCGGAATCAACGAAATCGTGGCATCTACGCGAGCATCATAGACAATGATTGTTGGTTAAGTGCAAATTTCCTGAAAAACATTCAAACGCTAGTTCAATTTATTAGTCGTATACAAAGTTTTTTCGTTTTTTTTTTCTCTTACACTAGCGCCACTCTCATCCGTTTTTGAGTATCTTCTCTGTTCTGTTTTATTTTTTGTCGTATTTTCAAAATCTTTACCGTTCGGACGTATTATCGAATAATCTGGATTTCGAGGACAATCGTCGTCTGTGATCTGCCTATACCTGCGTGACAGTATACTTAGAAGACTATTATAGTTCGACGAACAGGGTAACAAATCATCGAGTATTCACCTCTGAAATTCGATTGCAGTTAAACTAGACACGAATAATCTTGACCCTCCGATGCGGTGCAATTTTAAACCGAGAAGAAAATGCTAACCAGTTTCGTGACCGCGGGAAAATTTCTTAATCGGTCTTTTGTATTCAGGAGAAAAGAAAAAGAAATATAAGAATTACAATTGAAAGTATCGCGATCGATTTTAGCAGGTGTGGTCACGTTTGCGGAACATCATGGAACAGTTAAAAGTGAGTTCGCAATTGTTAGTTGTGGCTTTGTCCCGTTGGCGACACGATAGCCGTAAGATTCTACCGTAGATACCGTAGAGACTACTCGATGTATAAACAGATTCTGTGTAAACGTAAAAACCGACTGTAATTACCGTGATACGTAGCTGTAGTGAGCCGAAAACAGAAGTGAACGAAAAGGAAATAGAGAAGGAACCGGGGTGGATGACACGTTGACCAGTTTTTTTTTTTTAAAATCGTTGTGAATTGTTATTGTACTCGACGATCGTGTGATATAAAAGACAAAAGGGATATGGACTCTTTTCGCCGAAAAGTTTTCGGTTTTACCGGAGACACGGAATGTTCAGCTGCCTTCCGGAGGCTCGCGATCGAAATCTTCGAGTGTATCGATCGCAAACGTTTACGCTGTAGCCGCGAGGACGAGAACCTGCACCATGGTCGCATCAGGGTGGCCAATCCTCCAATTAGAACCGACTCGACAAATATATATTTTTTTAAGTGGAACTTTTACAGTTCCTTCTTTTTAAAATACAAACGATAATGGATTTCACGGGAATATTGACACGGCAACGCCGAATTGGTCACCCTGTGGCGACGATTTAATTGTTAATTAGTATTGTTACCACATCACACGTTCGCGCATTGTTATCGTTATGAGAAATCATTTATCGTAATATCGTGAAATTTTATCATACTCCCGAAAGAGACGTGACTGTAAATGATTGATGTAACATCGATGTAATTGTACGTTTTTATTTATTCCTTTCACTCGCAGTATAACCGATATTTATATTAAAAAAGGAAAGAATGGACGAGAGGCGACGAGAGATTTTGGTGATTGTTTTTTGATTTGTATATTGTCATAGATCGACGTACCTACTTTATTACCGAAACTTTTTCTATGTGTATAGATTATAAATAATTATAGTGCCGAAAAGGAACCGTGATGAAAAAAAAAAGTATGTTTGAAAGAAAAAAAAACAAGAGAAACTCAAGTTCAAACAGTGTACGAAATTTCGATACCTATTTTCAGATGCGCAGGGGGAGGAAGTTAGTGGGTATGTTTTCATTTTTCGTTCATTTATGTCATTGTGTAGTCTGTTCGTATCGTGATGAAAAGGTATAATTAAACGAATAGTGCAGAATTTTGTCGAAAATATCGACGAAGGAGTGAACCATAGAAAAAAATTCATGGGGATCGGAAGTAGAGAGTACTCTTGTGCGAAACAATGCTTTTCAGTGCCACAAAATTGATTTAACGTTCTTTCCTACGGAACGTTTGGTTTTATTAGTGGACGGGTTATTCATCTCGATTGTGCAGCTCTCGAACCGACGATGGACTCCGAGGACTTTCCGTGGACGCATTGTACCGATATAGTATTAATTATTTAAGCGATTCGTCGATGTTAAAAGGCGACAGCGCAAAATGTTGCGCTGCCTTGGAGTACAAATTCTCTCAGGGAAACTTTATACCGTAGATGTTCAAGAAGTTATTCTTTCGTTTCTTCGAGCTTGATGGATGATAGTCAATAAACATTAGCGACGAAACGTTATTGTCTGTTCATGTACCAATCTGTTCAGTGCTGGTTCGATCGGTCAACAATTGTCAAATAAATTGCTTGGAAATTGATGTTGTTAGGACTTCAAGCAGAAAAGTCTGTTTTTAGGCGTTTCAACGTGATATTGGTGCACTTGAAACTGTGCACCTGATAATGTTGATTACTGTAGAACCACCATTCTACGATCTAGTAGATACCATAAAGAAATTGTTATCGATAATACTGATTCTGAGTACTATTAAAAATAATTTTTTATAGTTTCAAATGAAATTAATTAAATATGGACTGATATATCGAAAGTAACAAAAGTAATTGTATGTTGAGAAATTGTATTTTTTGAGTGTTGAAAATACAATGTTATGGAAGATTTCTTTTCTGTATTAAAAGTTTTCTAATTCATTTTTGACATTCAAAATTACCTAATAGGACAGAAGGAGATATTTTACAAAACGGTCTTGAATAATGAAAGTTTCACTGCACATTAAATTAGAGAATTGGTTTAAATACTTTATAGCTTTGAAAATTTAGAATTTTAGGTGCCACTTTATTTACATACTTATTTCGATCAGCTCGAAAATATGGAGCGAGGTTGGGTGACCAAAAATCTGGACTGCTGATGTTCGTGGTAGGACACATTTTTTCTGTCCGTAGGCTCGTCACAGTGAACAGTTTCACACATAATAATGCATACATAGTGTTACATTTTCTTAAAGTGTATATTTTACTAGGTTTTGCGAGTTACGTACCAGATTTAATGAATGCACAAACGTTCATAGTCTAATTATTAGTAAAAGAATAATAAACATTATAAATACCTATTAAAATTATTCATTGCGTTATAACATTCTGACTGAAGCACCCTGAAGTTTGACAAAGCCCTGAACAAAACGTCCAACAACAGATTTGAATATTCTTCGTGCATAAAGTGATAGGATGAATCAATGCATCATCAGGAATTAACAGTTTCATTTTCGAATAACTAGAGATGGATTGCACAAGAGAAGAGGTACAGCTACACCTTACATTAGAAATTTCATGACAATTGTATCATTTATTAATTTCAGCTGGAGAAAACGAATGTCTTTCAACTCGATATTTTGATTCCATTGATAAAAATGTTAGACATTTACAAAGCAACCAAGAACCTGTACGGCCCGGATCAGTTTTGCATTATGTTATTTGCTGGTGAAGAGCCAACAGAGCGGTGTCAGATAATTTATAACACGATTGAGAGTTACTGTAGTCATCCTGAGGAGTTTAAGGTTAACAGTCGCCATTACTGAAGATCATCAAATCAAATAATAATATGCATACTTCATTTTCGTTTCTAAAGGTCCTACCGGCTTCGATTCAAGCCATTATTGTTGATTTATTTATGAATATTATACGTTATAAAAATTTCTTGGAAGGAGTAAGTAAAGATTTATTACTGAAACGACGTCGTCGCAATTACGACAGATTGACCGAGACCATGGGTACGTGGTTTAATGATAACGTATGCTTTCGTTACTAAATTATATACACATGGTGTTCGTTAGTACTAAAAATTTATTTCTAAACTGTAGCTCATTTTTGGAAAACGAAGGCCATAGATATTAATTATTCATTAGAAACCAACAATTGTGTCAGCCGTATGTAGATGACACGGCAGTCAAAGTGTTAAATCGAAATATAATTAGTACATTATTATTAGTGATCTATTGTTTTAAATTACTTAATTAAATAACTCTACTGTTTTAAAATCATCACTTAAAATAACACATTTGAAATTATTTTCCCAGTGTTTATATACGTCCTAACGTATAGAATATTCAATTTATTCTTCGAGGAGTCCATCGAATTTTTTCATTATTTCAAAATAAAGGAAACGTACTTTATGGTTTTGTATCTGCTCCGGTCAGAAACACCGAATCTCTTCTACCAGATAGGTTGCCAAGAGTTCGAAGAAGAATTCGTGGAACGGAAGCTTGTTTTGCCCCTGTTGGAAGCAACTCCATGCCTAGAGGTTTCATTTATAATGTCTCCAGGAAATGTACAGTTCACAAATAACACAGTAATAATTTCTGTGGTTGTTCTTGTATAGAATCTTCGTGATCATTTGAAAGCGGAAATTCGACAGATGCTACCGCCTAAGAAGAAAATAACCATTCCTATATTCATGAATGTTCTAAATCGTCCGAATCGACGAGCAAATGGGCCTCCTGTTACACCGGAAGTAAGCAATCCATTATTCCCATTAAATACAAGAACACGTAAGACTCCATTTATCTGAACGAATTTCATCACAGTACCCGATTTATCAATTATGTTGCTAAATCGTTATAATTTGATCCCGATTTAAGCTTCGTACCGTTGTATGAACTGGTGTCATAAATATTGTAATAAAATGGCTTGAAGCGAAATCAGAATCGAAGAATATAAATTTATGTCTTACCCCCTGAAGAGCTCGTTCAATTTTAGGAATTTTGACAAAATATAACACATTTTTTATTTCATATGTTTGTGTTATGTTTGTAAAATTGTATCAAAAATTGTTTTTCAGAAAGAAGTTTCTATTTTTGTATTGTCACAAGAATTTATTTCACATCCAGGGATGACCCTTTTTATAGAAATTTTAAGAACGGTAGGCACAGAAGCTCCATCAGGAAATATTAGGAAATATATTTTTCTTTATTTAATTTCCGTTTAAATCCTACATTAAGTAAATTAGGGGATGGTGGACGTATAATCATCGAGCAATGAAACTTTAAGGTTTCTTTCCTTGAAGATTCCTCATATGCTGGATAGGATTTGGTGGTGGAGAGATTCGCACGCAAAGTTCCCTTAACGAATTACCTGAAGCCGTTAACGGATAGAAAATTGGAATTGCTGCGAGCTGCGAATAGATCACAGGCAATGAAGTTACTGAACGACGCGAACAAGCATGCACCGACTTGTTTGCAACGGGTTAAACGTCCGATAAAGACAACGGAGAAAGAAAAGCCCGAGGCGATCTTCGTGAAGAAAACGAAAGTACCGACGTTTAAGGTAAGTCCAAAAAATACACGTTCTATCGTATGCTTCACTGTTTTTATTAATTGTATAAAGTCTGTAATAAGGCATAGTGCTGGTTTTGTACGTTAAATAAGCTATATCGTTTCGCAGCACGTCAATATTAATTTTCGCCACGTGTATTTATTTAACAGCCGGTCGAGGTGAAACAAACAGCCGCTTCCATTTTAAGAGAGTGTGCTCGAGTGATAAGTGACGAAGAAAAGGAAATAAGAAAGTAATTAAACGTGACTTATTAAATTAAACGATATTTCACTCAACATTAAATCGAATACTTATTTTATAAATATTTTTTTGTGGTTAATGAATACATAATTTCTTCGGTTTCATATTGCACCAAGTTTTTAACTATTCTAAACGAAAGAATTACCAAAAGTAGTTCATCTAAATTATGATCTTCAGCTACTAAGCTTACGGCATCGTAACACAGTAAAAAATAAATTGTATTAATAAAAACGATTTTCCATACATAGCAAAAACATATTTTGTTAATTCTTGTTAAAAACAACCAGTTACTGGTGAATAATGTTAATATTTCATTGTTACTTGTCTTTCTCCGATATGAAAATAACGCAGATTAAAGAAGTTAGCAGAGGGTGGGCACGATCCGTCTTCCATCTCACGACTCGAGGAGGAACAGCGGAAACGGGAGAGAGAAAAGGAATTATCGAAGATACAAGAGAAACACTTGTTAGCATTAATAAGTCGCGAGGGCGCGTTTATCGCGAAACAATCGTTGCTGGACGACGTTAAACAACACGCTGAAAGCGTACGGAAAGAGGTACATGTCTACCTGTATTTATCTGCGTGTGAAATAAAAAATAAAAGCGGGTTTTTTATAAATACATATAACCGTTTATATTGAAAACATCATTGTATAATAGGATTGATAAGTACTCGAATAAGTGTATAGATAAGATTAATGAACTATTTTTATGATAAATGCATCGGAAGAAACAAGAACTGTACGAGAAGCTGGAAAAATGGAGAGAGCAGCATAACAAGGAGATGGCGGAAATTGTTGAACGATGCCGGGAAATCGAGCAAGGATCCCGCGATGCTTTCAATGCCATGGTCGATGAAAAGCGACAGAAAGGTGTAACATGCTCCCAGAATTAATTACTTCCTAACGAGATTCACGCTGTGACGACTGGCTAGTTTCGCGAGTAACTTTTCTGAGTGGCCTGTATTTGTCAAGATTTAACAATATATGGTTTTTGTTATGTACATAAAAAAATTCAATAAGTTTGAATATCTGGAAAGTATCAAGTAGACACTCACATGACGGATTCACAAGGACTGGAAAAGACATTGTATTTAAATTATTTTGCTATCATACTGTAAATTTCCATCTCTAAATAAACGTACAATTTTCTTAAACTTTTGCGAAACTTAATATTATACGCATGAATTATCTTGATCAGCCGCAGAAGTTTCTCAAGAATCCCGTCAGCTGAAAGCGCAGATGATGAAACAGAGGGAAGCGGAAACTCGGAGGAAGATTAAACTGATCCAAGAGATCAAGACCATTCAGTCATTGCGATCATTGCCCTGCAAGGAATTCGATCCTACGGAGTCAAGCGGCTTGGGTCTCCTTTGCGAAATGTCATTGGCAGAGGTTCGACCAGATCTTATAACATTAATGTTGTTTTATTATTATAACACTTGGAGGATAGAAACAAAATAATTTTTATACACATTAAAATTTATAATACAAATGCTAATTTACTTAATAAGTAATTAGATTGTGGACATTTGCGTAAGCAAAGAATTGTCTTCGCTAATTGAAAGAAACTGGAATCGTATAGAAATTTATCTCTCTTATTAAGGGTTCTTTTGGTTCCAAATAAAATGAAAATCTCATTAAAACATTATTATTATACTTTCAGTCTAGTGCACGCAAACTATCCAAATAAAGTACTATAATAAATAATAATAGAAATATTAAAATTAAGTAACAATTAATAGCATTAGTAACATCGATTTGGGAAGGAAAAACGGAAGATAATATAATTCTACCCATTGATTTGCTCCTCTTTGCGTTTCAGTTGAAAGAGAGATTGTTCTGGATGAAAATGAAGTTGAACGAGGAGATCGAGAATCGCAAAGTTATCGTCCACCGAGAACGCGAGAGGCAGAAAAATATGATCAGAGATACTCAACGAGCACTGGAGAACTATAAAGCCAACAAGTTCGTTATCGGCAGACTTCTTGTTTACATTCAGTGTCAAAAGGAGAACTAATGTAATTTATAAATCGAGGGAAAATAAATTGCAAATTTACATAACTTTAACTTATAAATCCTGATTCAGAAGTGTCAGCGAGATAAGAGCAAAGTTGATTTCATCAAGAAAGTTTTTTCGATCGAGAAATAAGTGTCAGAGAGCAGATTTTATGAAAATGTATCTAAGATGTCTTTGAATCAGTTTCAGTCTTTCTAAAAAATGCAATTTTAAATAACAGAGTTTTACTAACCTCATGTCTATAAAGATCATCTTTGAAAGTTTATTTAACATTTTCCTGGATGGTTTTATATATTTTTTTACAAGTTCTAATTCTTTTCTTCATTATTCAGGCGAGCTGTTACATCATCAAAATCTCAGAGACCGTCCACATCCACCGCCAGTTCACCGGAAGTGGACGCTCTGCGGCAACAGTTGGAAGAACGAAGAGCACTGAGGCTGCAGAAGGAGACAGCTCTTCGTTCAAAATAAATGAATAATTTACGTTTTATTAACTCAGGTTGTTGTAATAGAATTTCGAACCAATAAATTCGATGTCATCGTTTGTGTTTTATCCGCAACGTGTTTCGTAATAATTGTGTAACCAAGCGGTGCATGCATCCATCGTAGCTTGTATTGTTCTCTTTCTGCTGACGTCACGTTAGACATTTCTGTTCCATTATGGAGGGGCGTACTAATCACTATACAAATACCATGCACTTTATGATTTCTCACAAACTTTTCTATCACCCAAAATCAAAAGTCATTGTCCCGTGGCGTGTTTTCGAAAATAGAAACACTATACTTGACTATACGTTTTTACAGCATTTGGTGATTGGGGTCATCTAACAACAAACGTAAGTGATAACGATCGATTAATTTCGAACAGTTGACATAGAACGTTGATGGGTGTTGGTGATAGATAGGCTATGAAATTTCGTTTAAGTGGATCCATACCTACCAGCTGCGATTGGTAGCCAACGCTACCGCGGAAGCTCGGCCGGCAGACGCGCGTTCTGATTGGTCGGGGTTTTTCGTTAATATCTCGTTAACAAAGTCTTGAATAACTTTCGTGCTAAGGGAAAAGTTGTTTCAAATCATCTCAGGAATCCCTCATTTCCGGGAGTCGAAGCTATTTTGGGACACCCTGTATACTGATTCTGGTTATGTAGCTTTCCCATTGATGACAATTCATTAAAAATGAGAAAAATCGTCAACAAATTATCAGCCATTGAGTAATCAATTCTTCAAACTTCCAACCTTTCTGAGTTGCCTTTGAAAGACAAAGAGGCTCAGACCCTTGTCTCTTTTACCCAATGGTAACGGCAGCCAGTGGTGGGGACTAATTTTAGCTTCCGGGAGCAAACTTTGGCCACCGCTGACTTATGTCATAAAAAGTGACGATGCATTTGTGACATAAGAAACTATACTGATGGAAAATAGCACTCTTCAAAATCGGTACCAGAAATATTTAAGATACTACTGAATCAATTTGGATCAAACTCTACGGTAATATTCTTAACACTAAAATCTAGTGCTTCACGAAGCGAATTCTTTATTCGTGCATGTTTTCTTTTTTTAGTAACAAAAGAAGATGAAAATTTATGACGGAAATTACAAGTTCAAGTTTAAAGAGTCGTCATTTTCTAAAATGTTGACGTAAAATTAAAAGAAATACTTGTTTCAGATAAAAGTCCACAGAGATACATGTATGTGGTACCAGAAATGGTGTTTTGATGAAACGGGTTATAATTAAATGGCAGCCATTTTCTTCTGTTATTAGATATGTAGCCGAATTTTTCAAAAATTACTAAGGAGATAACATATAATAAGATGTATACGTTGAATTTTCAATAAACAATAATTAACTCTCATTTAACCGTTCAAAGGTATGTAACCCTTTAAACATCAAATCTTCTACGAAATAAAATCCTGAAAACTCTGCTCACGGAAAACAAAAAGTCCTGAAAGCTCTAAGCTCCTATCCTCCGCGTAAGAGGAATCCACACAGAAACGTTTACTCATCAAAATTCATCGCGTCACCTGAACAAGTTTCTCGAGTGAAATCTCCATTATCGTATTTAGATGACAGCTGGCAGAGGGGCAGTTATGACGATTGCGTAAACATAGCGCTTTAGCGTTTCAATTTCCTGCCATACAATGCGCCATTGCGTGCGTACAGAATGACAGTGAAAGGAGTGGGGGAACGTTAGACATAGAATAAAAAAGAACCGTCCAACTATGCCTATTGCAATCATTCAGGTTTATCGACTCGAGTTGCCTTTCCATCGTGGTTCGCGACGGACGGAGAACAAGGATCGAATCTAGTAGTCGAGGGCGCCCGATAACAGATACACGTTGTGCTGAACGCTTCGAAACATCAACATGATCGCTGATAATACAAAGGGAAATGTAAGACGCGATTTTTCACGATAAACAATGTGTTTACCACGCGATCTCCTCCGTGACTCGTCGAAAGTGTCGTTCTCAGGGACGTTCAATAAGATTTTTGATGTTTAACGGTGCATATCTTCAGGAGGAACCGAAGTTCGTCATCGAGAATAATGTGCTCAAGGGTAAAGTGGAAGGACAGGAACTGCACTACACCAGCGGCGGGCCGTTGTTGTTCGAAGTGTTGAAGAAGACACCGAATTTTGTTGGGCAGGTACGTGATGAAGAGTGTCCATTGTTTGTGCGTTTGCCAATAAATGAGACATTTGTTTTTAGAGTGGTATAAATTCACTTTTATTTATTTGGAGATATTTAACGTCTTGCAAGGGCCACGTTGCTCCATCGACGAGGCTGACTTCTCCATTATCGTTCGTCCGTTACCCATCCGTTTGTATATGTATGTATAGAATATAGCAGAAGTGCATAACTTCTGCTCTCGGAATCGGCGCCCCACTACGCGACTCAAGCTGCCTCGTCCGCTACGTACTGAACATCGCATGCTACGATGCTTCCTCATGGAAATTGGGTTTTTGCAAATTTTCCCCTAACTATAAATTAATTTTCCTAGTTAAAATGGAATAATGGTCAAGTCAGGAAATTTTCATACAATTGAAGGATATATTGTAGACGGCAGAAGTATTTGAACTATGGTTCTGATATGTAAATGATGCAAGATATATGTATACTATTAAAAGTGATGAATATTAAAATAATATAGCGATGACAAGGTTAACAAATTTAACATGATAGTGTCTCATTTATTAATCCACTTATCATGTATTCTCATAATCGTTGCATTCAATCGTACGTATGTGTAATTATTACGAAGACTTCTAATTACTCATTAACACGAGATCATACAGGTTCTAATAACTTAATTTCTTACTAAAAATTGTCAAGACAATTAACTAATTTTGACCAATTGACAATAATGATTCAATTAGCAATTAAAAGATTAGAAAATAAGTAGTCCCAAAACGGACTACACATTCAGGTAAAAGAGGATAAATAGTTTCATTTAGCAGAACAAAGCTTCCCTTGAGATATTAAAGGCATCTCCACTTAGTGAGTTAAAAAATTTGTTACCATCGTGAGATGTCCCCTTCGAAACAGAAAAGTAAATTCTATTTGAAACGTTTCTGCGTATAACCAATACTTTGGAAGATAATGGATAGCGAGTGGAGAGATTAAATTAGGATATCCTGTATGCGTTGTATAATTGTACGTTTATTCGACCAAGAGTACGGTTTATTTGAACGATCAAACGCTTCAGGTGGACGTTGTCACAGGACAGGAGGATACTTTCGGGAACATGCTGGACCGGGCGATAAAATGCGCTCTGTGGATGAAAAAACAAGGTGCGACGAAGGGCGACATCATTGCACTTTCTACGCACAATCACCTTGACTCTTTCATACCGTACATCGCCGGACTCTTCATTGGCGCTACGATCAACCCGTGGAACCACGAAATGAACACAAGTGAGTCTTCCAATAAAATTAACCCACTACAGTAGATTCTCGATAAATGCTCTACTGTTTTGTAAATTTCGGTTTTCTTAAGTGTGGCAAGCCGTTTCTAAGGTCAGGTTCCAATGCCCCCTCAACAGTGGTATATGAGAAAAAAAATTTGCATAAAATAGTACGAGAGGATACAATTTGCAGAAAATTCATTCATGGGGTAAATTCTCGATAAATGTTCGGAAAAAATGATGCCAAATACTATATCGCACACTTGCTATAGAACTGACACAACCCGGAAAACGTGTTTCTCGAGTCATGAATATGAGGAAATTGCGGAAACACCGTTCGATCATCAAGTGTAATCTCAATCATCAAAATTGTAATCTTTTAGCTTTAGAGATTGGTTGGCAGAGAGTCGCTTGTCATTCTTACTGTTTACAGAGTGACTGTGATTTGTGACAATCCTTTGTATTTCTGAGAAACTAATATTTTTTAGTTATGTCACTTTTGTGATAAGGTTGTTATGTAATTTGAGTTACTTCTAATTTATCAGAAACGAGTGCAGACTGTGTCATCACTTTCGATTTTAGGGAAAAATCTTACGAAAGTATTATTATATACTTATAGTTCTATGAAATATTAAACACTCTAATAAAGTTCACAAAGTTTATGTCTCGCGTCCGTGTTTACAAAAATTTCACTACAGACAGACCATTTGTGAGTCTAAATCATACACATATTTTCAGATGACAGATCGTTTGGGTTAGCTTTGAAAACATCTTATTTTTAGCGACTGGCAGATAGTGCATTATTATCTTGTACTCCATCATTTTCCTTCGGTATATTGTGTAATCACAAATATTGGTCGTTCGCATGCCTATGTCTGCCTTGCAATCGCTAATCACTCTCGTCACGTAAGTTATGATAGAATGCAACGAACACGAAACATACTCATATGCAAGATTGTGCATAACAATTTACATTTTGTCTGCAACCTGCAAAATTGATAAAAATTGATTTGTTTCATAATTTAACTGACTCTTTAACGTAAATTCGTCCTTCGTTCACGTTTAGTAACAAATGTCCACTGACTTATAGACGGGAGTGTATGTCAATATATAGAATCGATCTCATTATTTTTAGACCGAACTTGACCCAAGGTAATAGTAAGGGGTTACATGTGTCTACGAGTCGAAAAAGTAGGATGGATTTCAAGAATTGCACTTGGAGTTAATACCAAATTAATGATAAAATATAGATTTACTCGAACAGCAACAAATCTTTTGGATTTGGTTAAGTTTTCTACATACACGTTAAAAGAACCGCGACAGTTACCCTTAAATGATCAAGAACTGGGTCTGTAACGGTACTACCGAGTTAAAACATTTTTTAAAATTGATATACGTACTGAGCATAAATCGGGACGTGATTAGAAATACGGACATTAACCTTATGGCTGTTTCGTTTCCATAGGTCTGGCACGTCATTTTATGGGATTAACCAGGCCGAAGATCATCTTCGCCAACGAAGAATCAGCTGGAATTATAATGGAGGCGGCGAAGATCGAGCTTTTCCATCCGAAGGTCGTTGTTTTCGGTAATTATCTCGGCACTATACCGTTCTCCGCGGTGTTACAAGGTCACAGCGAGTCCGAGGTGGCGAACTTCGAATGCACGAATATCGCGAACATCAAGGAAACCTCGACGATACTCTTCTCCTCGGGGACCACTGGATTGCCCAAAGGCGTGCAGCTGTCACACGAAGTGATCGTCTCGTGCTTGGAGAACCTAGAGAGCTTTCGGTTCAAGTCCGTGATACCGTTGTGGTTCAGTAGTTTGTACTGGATCAGCGGTACCATGCTTAGCCTCAAAAGCATTTCTGGCCAAACGAAGAGAATCATCGCTCCCCAATTTGACCCGCAAACCGTGTGCGAGGTCGTCGAGAAATATAAGGTATTTCGACTTTGAACTGTATTGCATTCTTTCTAGACGACAGATTTGGGCAAATTTTATTTCGAATAACGAATCACATACAATTGCAATCGTAACCATTTATAAATCTTTATAGTAAATCCTCGATGAGTTTTTAAAGGCTTCTCGGCATTGACAAGGAGAGGTCCTCAGGTGTAACGCTAACTTTTTTTAATGAGGTTTAGCACAGTGATAGACTTGGGAATTCTGAAGCCAATGGTATTTGTGTCAGCAGCATGTGACCATTAGTTTAGGAAATATTTAATGTTTAGTCCAGAGGAGCCTTCAAACACTCATTGAGGATTTACTGTATTGGCAAAGCACAAATTATTAATTTGTTACTTGATCTTGCAGTAACTTTAAGATAGAAAAGTCCTGAACAGTAAACGGTTAGAAATCGCAAAATTTTCTCTAATGATTTTACTTCGGTCTATAATTAATTGAATTATCCTATCCTAGGTCACGTGGCTTATGTTGTCCACAAGTATGGCAAATCGATTTGTTAGATACAACGGTTTGCACAATTACGACCTCTCGAGCTTAAGTCTCCTCTTAGTAGGGGGCGCCACGTTGAAACAAGAGTCCCAAGATGCGTTGAACGAACACTTGCCACATACGACGGTCTTGCAAGCTTACGGTATGTTCTTAACATTGTATGATACATCCATGATTTCCTTTTATTGAGGTCTTGTCTTTAACCTATTAATATTACTATACTAACCTATTAATATTTTTTGTCATTAATTTTTTCTTCTTATAATAATTCTTAACATTCGTTGTGTCTTACTTCAGGTCGTTAATATCATGTACTAGATGCCGGTAAGATAAGTCAGCTAAGGCTGACAGGTGCAGCAGTTAGCTTTAGTTATTAAAATAAATAAAAACCTTAGTAATTTTATTACTATTGCAGAGAGTAATCTAAAAAAATTTGTACTTATTGTTTTTCATTAACTATATAATTAATATATTTATTTTAAATCAATGTTTCTACTTAACTTGTAATTTTAAACTAAATGGCAGGGATAATTTAATAATTTCTGAACGCAGGTATGACGGAACTTGGTGGACTGGTTGCAGCTCAGACACTGGACTCTACCAGCGGCTCTTGCGGCGTGGTGATTCCGAACAGTGAAATTAAAATCATTGACCCAGACACAGGAAAAATTCTAGGCGCCAATCAGAACGGCGAGCTATGCGCAAAGACACCAACCGTTATGAATGGATATTACAAGAATCCCGAGGCTACTAGGGAAATTCTGGACGCAGACGGTGAGCACACGAATCATAATTTATTGGATGACACTGTCCAACACAAATTTTTGGATGATCCTTGCAGAATTTCTTATCTTAAACACTACCAGTTGAAACCTTGCATGACTCCATTGTGGGGTCATCGATCTTCATAGTGATAATACAGTGGACTCTTGATATATTGCCACGGCCGGGGCTGTAGCAGAGTAAAATTCTCTGAATTGGCATTATATCGAGAGCCCCTTCTTTGCTAAGTTCCGCCTCTATAGCCCCGTGCTGGTGAATAAAGTATATGTGGAGGGGAAGTGACTCGTGCGGCAATATATCAAGAGTCCACTGTAAGGGCAAAAAATGGAAATATTCTACTTGAGAATATTATGATTTTAATTCTAGGTTGGCTGCATTCGGGCGACCTTGCTTACTATAACGAGAAAGGGGAGGTGTTCATTATCGATAGACTAAAAGAAATTATTAAATATAGGGGACACCAAATAACACCGACTGAAATAGAGAATCTGTTGCAAGCGCACCCAGCTGTTTTAGAAGTCGCAGTTGTTAGCATTCCACATCCGACAGACGACGAGCATCCTATCGCCTTCGTCAGTAAAGTGCCTCACAAAGAGGTACGTTCAAACAAATAATCTGTTATTTTATCAGGCTAAGTTTTAAATAACATCAAGTTTCCGTTCGTAAATTCGTTACTTTCCTAAACAATCTACAAGATATTATGAAAAACGTTCTAAACTAACAATAAGACGAAAATAAAGAATGACGAAATTACGTTCGTGGCTTCCTTTATTTCTATATGTACTTAATTTACAGGTGTCAGCGGAAGAATTGATACTGAGGGTAGAAAACAATTTACTGGATGTTTATAAATTACGTGGCGGGGTGAAGTTTCTGCCGAAACTACCTCACACGCATTCTGGAAAAATATCGAGGAAAGATTTGAAGGCGATGGCAAATTCGATGGCGGTTAAGTAGGTTATTATAATAATATTCGTCTATCGAGGAAAACTTGGGATTAAATGGCGACGTGTACCTGTTATTTTCCATGAAAATTATTTCTGAAATATTCGACGAGATAGACGTCGTGTCAATCTAGACGAGCGAGAATTTTTATTTTTGTGAGACAGGAAACTAAAGAAAGTCGAAATACTCGCCTGCGAGTGCTATATTTTATAATATTTTATATAAAAACCATAGTTCGTATATATGGTGCTTTTAAAATATTTGATAAAATAAATATTACGAAAACATAGATTAACAGATATTTTTATCCATGTGAGACGCAAAGACGTGTAAAATATACGCTTCCTGAGAAATATGTCAATTGTGTCTTATTAATACATGTCACGTACAGTTATTTATCGTAATCTTAGAATTATACATATCAGTGTAATAGTATAATGTATGTATTAGTATAATAAGGTTTGAAGAGTACAATTATTTAATTAAATAATTTATTATTTATACACAATCTGTTACTATGCGTTAAATATTTGCAATCAGATCACGATATACAGGACGAATTCAAAACTGAAAAATTGGAAACAATTTTTTGCCAGCGAATTAGTATTAAACTAATGTTTTTGTATAAATGTAAGGTTTTTATGTAATTTTGTCATGTACAATTCAGGTAGTATATTTCAAGACAATAAGAATAAAGTATAACACATAAGGTGAACAATGGTATAGTGTATCCTTATCCTTTTCAGGAAAATCAAGAATTACGAAATTATGTTAGAGGCTTCGACATCGAGTTATTAACAATTAAAGATTCGGACCAGGAACGCCTGGTATATTTTCGTTGGCACTATCCCAATTATATATTTGGTAATTTTCAATGCCTATTGCGACGGTTACCTATCTATGATTCACCTCAACGTGCAAGAAACCTTTCTTAGCTTTGTTCCAACATCGATAATAAGGGATGAAATGAGAACGACGATGAAAATAGTTTAAAAAATTATTCGAATTTATTGTGCAAACTATAATAAATGTATATATGCACTCGATATTATGTATATATATACATTTATTAATATTTTTTGTTATATTATTCGTTGCGATCTTTAGTTCAGTGGAATGAGTGGTTTATTCGTATCCACGGGCCTTGGACTCCTTGAACATGGCGACCAGAGAGTCCAGGGTTTCCAGGGCGGTGGGTTTGATTTGGTCAGCCGGAAGTACGAAACCGTGACGGCCAGTGTCGCGCAATTCGTAGGTGAATGTTACTGGCTTTTGGAAGGTTCCTTTCACCCAATCCACGGAACTTCCGCTAGCGATGTCTGGAACGGAAATTTTTAATAATTTAATTAATAATAAATATTTTTCCAAAGAATAGCCTTTGTAGCTATTTTAGTAAATATTTATACTTGTTTATTATGTTTAGTGCGCATGAAGCATACAAATATACTTACAGATGGTTTCGGCGACGTTTCCGGTCTTGTATTTTGTGCCATACCGTTTTTCAAGAGCTTGGATCGTCTTTTGACCAATCGCGAGCTGAAAATATACGAAAGAAATTATTTCTTTTCCACCAAGTGTCGACACTGGACATATTATGAAAGTTTAATTATTAAATCAATTATAGATCGTATTATTGACGTCAAAATAATAGTACAACGTTCGATCTTCATTATCGACCAACACAAAGCATTGAATATCTTTAGAGATGTCACAAAAATGTTTGATAAGATCGAGAACATTGATAAAATCATGAGCAATATGTTCTCGATAAGGCGAACGTATCTTTGTTACACATTTAACAAAAATATTGAAACCAAGATTTCTGACATGTGAAATTACCATGTATGAATGACAATTTAGTTTACTTTAATTTATTTTCATAAAGAAAAATTCAACTAAAATCAATACTATTTCTCGGAAAATTTTACTATAGAGCAGTTTTTAAATGAACCAAACTGAATTAGAACCTACAATGTTCGAGAACGTTGAAATGATAACTACCGTAATATACTTATGTTTATAAGTTCTTATTTCATTAAAAAAAATTGTTATGATATTGTCAAAATACTTATAGGTGTTTTTCTGACAGAGAACGCGTTATAAAAGACGTATTTATATACCGTCAATATGGAACAAAGAGGTGAGAATTTTTAATATCCAGTAACTTTTCCTTACAGATTCGCTATAGTTGTCCAAATGTTGTCTCGTGTGACCGTAGGGGAACATCAGAAGCTGCGAGTAACTGTGGAAGGAAATATATGCATAGAACTTATTAGAGATCGAAGTGATGTACTCAGACATCGATTTGGTTTCCACATCGGAGAACGCAGCGCTTCCGCCATAAGTGTCAGAGCATGGCTGGTTGCTGGCACCACCGGCTGAAAGAGAATAAAATAATATTTCACTAAATTCTAGTATGTTTCGTTTCGTTTGCATTGTTTCTTAGGTGTACGAATAAATAATCCACTTATTCGTACAAGTATTTGTATTGTCTAATATAATATACATAGTATATTCATAGTGATTATCCTGCATGCTACACCAGTGGTTTTTAACTCAAGATCGAGAAGATACTTTTAACTTAAACTATGTCCCATCATAATTTAAAAAATAGTGGATCACTTATTGGTACACCTAATATAATCAAATGGATTTTATGAGAATGGGGAAGATATGAAGAATGAATGTTTGGCAAACAATTATTTTATCTCATTAACTGTCTAAAGGTCAGGATAGCGCACTTAAATATTGTTACTGTTCACTATTTATTATTCGAAGAAAATTGTGATCAGCTTTGGTTCACATACCATAGATTATGCTAAAAATAAAGGGGACCAACGATCTCGTAAGAAGTGAGTAAATGGAGATATGAATAGTTCGTGATAAGTAAAAACTTACACATCCATTTGTAGCCCCAGTTTCTGTTCGGGTCGCTTCCGCGGCATATAGCGCCGTAAGGCTTGCGTGTCTTTCTCCACAAACGGTTCTGAAAGAAAAACGTCACAGGTCAAGTACTACATTAAACGTTGCCGTATCAGCTTAATGATGCATCCATTTTAGATACAATACAGTGTAAAATGAAACACGTGGTATAAAAAGCTATTAACGGTCAACTGGAAATGAAATTGGAAATAATCTTTTGCACCATATTTGGAATCATCGTACAATATGACTGGAAATGGAATTTGAAACAATCTTTTATACCATAAATGAAAATGGAATTCCAATAATCTTTTGTACCATAGAAGCAGATCTACCTATTTCATTATGTCGAAGAGAAATAAAATGACCATTTGAATACCTAGTACTGTTGCCCCTGATATAATAACAAAGTACTTAAAACTTTTTCACTTTGTTCTTATACCATGACTAGACTTCGTAGTATTAAAACGAATTTTATCCATAATATTTTGATGTGTATATACTATAGTATATCTATTTTATAGAATTACGATAAAATTGTCAAAACAAGAGTTCCATAATTATGAAGTAACGATTTAAGAGTCTGAGCGTCGAAGGGTTAATTAGGACATAACCAACTCAATCACTAAATATGAAGAATCCATAAATAAAAGTAAATTATCAAACTGTTTAACATACCGTTGTGTGCGTGTATTCGTAGCCATCAGGGTTGAACACAGGGAAGATGTACCATTCGTGGTTCTCAGCGAGAGCCCTGACATCCGGTTGCTTGCTGGTCAACAGCTCGTTCAGTATGTACAACATGGTGGCCGGTCCGATCCATTCCCTGGCGTGAATTCCAGTCTCGAGGAAGACACCTGGCTTGTTCTGGCCGAAGGTCACCTTCACACCTTTGATCTGACGGCCCTCGTAGGACTTTCCACCGACGACCACCTGGACCTTGTCTGGGTAAGCCTTGGCAAGACTGTCCAGATATGCGTAGATGTCGTTAACCCTGTGGTAGTTGTTCAAATCGAACCCGACCAAAGGTTGGACTGGTGGCCTTTCGCTGTCGATCAAGGTCTGCACGTCTTCGACGTAGGTCTCGTGGAGGATCCCGAATTTGTCCATCAGTTCGATGAACTCTGGGATCTTGTGGGGAGCGACCATCACATCGGCTGAGCTGGAGACTGCGCTAGGTTCTTTCCAGAAGGTGTACTGTAAATTTTAGTGGACATTGAAAGGTTATCATATCCTGTAACTGTCGGTCAAAGAGGACGGGAACAGTAGTTAATAACCACTATGATCGTCCACCTAACCATTCGAGCTAAGCTGGCAAACCCCCAAGAGACTGAGTTTACCACTGATAACTAAATAGACTGTGAACACAATTCTTTAGAATTCACTATGCTTGAGAGTTTGTTAAATTTTGACGAAGTTTTTGTTTTCATTGGAACCTGCTAGATTTCTGTGGACCATTTTATGGAAATTGAAATCTAAGAAGAATTTAGGTCTTATTACATGTCTCACAGTACTGATTTTCAGTCTATCTATGACGTAAAATTCGAATCAGTGAAAGTGACATGAATTTCAAAATAGAGTAACAGCTTTTGGTAAAAACTATTAGAATTTCTGGTTTAATTTGTTATATTCAAACGTATTTTAATTGTATAATATGAAATTCGATTTATGAGATGGTAGTAAATTGTACGTACCGAGTCGGACATTTGCTCGAGACTGTCCAAAACTTGGAATTGTTCCTCCGTTTGCGGTGTAACACGAAACACCTTGTAGTTGTCATATTTCACCTGGTTGGCTGTGGCCAAGGCGACCAAAGCCAAAAGAATTAACTTCCACATGTTGCTCGTTCCTTTAAAAAAATTAATACCACTGTTAATAATGACTCCTGTTTAAAATCTAACACCGCAATTTCTGTGAACGAGGATTCAACGCGATGATCGGTAACTTCGAAGACAATTATAAGACTGACGACTAAGCAGGGTTCCCACTGTCCGTTAACGCAGCCAGCTGTGAGTCCACGTTGAGACATTCCTCGAAGGAACAATATGCACACAATATTAGGTATAACAATGAGTAATCAACTATTCCCTTGATAAGGTGGCAATATGTAGTTTGAATTCAGTACATCTTCCCTCCACTTTGCCTGTTGATTTTGTTTATAGATTCTGTATGCCAATAAGTCAAAATTCACTAAATAATAATAGTATTCCAAACATTTGTTTAATAGAATACACATTTCTATTAAAAATGCGTATGTCATAAAAGAATCGTTATGTAGTTTATTCAATTATTTTTAAATTATAATTGAATTTACTATTAGTTCATTCTTTCAGAGCAAAACCCATCAAAACTTTTGCACTCATTCAATATTCATCACATATGTCAATAAACAAAATAAAATTTTTATGTAACTTCCGCTTTTCAAAATTGATCTACGAGACACTGAATTTAGAATATCCACAGTCTAACGATGATGAATATTATTGAGAGTTGAATTTAAAAAGGGAAATAATGAATTATTGATTGATACACATAGTAGTAATGCAAACTCATCGATGAATACTATGACGATACCCAGCGGTCGGCTACTTTTACGGATAGTGGGTATCTAACTTTAATCGATAAAACTGACAAAGCTAATGTATAAATCCTTTAAATCACAATCGAATTAATATATAATTAATACTTCGAGCACAAACTGCGGGCACTTTGACGTACGATCTTACCCTCAGTAATCACGAGAGAAGTGTCTTCCCGTTAGTGTTCTCTTCGTTGTATTTAAACGCTTCCCCTGCACACGGCACCACGGATCATTTCTGGTAAATCGTTATTCAAAAATCATATGATCTATCAATTAAGGGAACGTCTTATTGGATCTGAAACGAACTTATCAGATTCGATTCGAGTGACTTATCTTGTCGATCATACGCTAAGTCACTGGAATCAGTCCATAGCAGTTTCACAATCAGTCGCAGACAACTTTTAATTCCGGGATACTTGAAACCTCTGCCGGGACGTGATTTGCGATCGTCACGATTTCTTTCTTTCGCATTCTCGCAGCGACGAGTACCTATATTTTTGATCGTGAAACAGTGTGTCAAATCGTGGTCATTAGACCAGGGGTCTATACGTAAATTCAGATTTTTAATCATTTTTATGGATTAGTTTAGAATGAATCCATAAAATCCGCGATCTAGTGATCATCGATCTCAATGGGAAGTATCTAAATTTCGATTTTTTACTACGAATAAGGTATTTGTATCGTTTTCTCTTGTATTATACTTGTTTTGTATTTTGGGTAATTGTTTGAATATCATTTAATTGCAGTGTTTTTAATTATGTACAGGTGCCTGAGTAGATTATTTTTTACTTTTATAATAAATATTTTAACAATCTTAAAGAAAGTTAAGTAAAGCAACACAGAAATCAATACATTGATACAGACGAATACGTTTTATTAAGAAGGTTACACGCAGATAATACGTATTCACGTTTTAATCACGCGGAGGGAATCGATGACCATGACTACAGGCGACACTCCTGGTTAGAATTTATATTTTTGGAACGAGTATCTGAAATCTTGATAAGAAAGGAACGTGAAATAAAAAAGTGTGACGTGCAGTGATCAAACTTCGATTCTAATCGTGTGTTTGTAATCAAACCTCTGTCGAGCACGTATCGTGGCATGCAAATCTTTGATGTCCTCCTCAATCAGTACAATCGTCGTAAAGAAAACGCGTCGCTAAAATCGAAATTAAATACAAATCAGTTTAGTTTTTTAAGGGTTCTATTGGGTTCTAAATAAAATAAAAGACGCATTAGACTTTGCTAAACGTCCTACTATACTGAATTTTAGACGATAATATACATTACAAATAGCATGAAATCCGCAGACTATGCACTGATTATATTTAACACAATATTATTAAACTCCTAGAAAGAAGTAATATTTATGTATATTCGAAATCATAGAGTAATAAAATATATATGAACTTCGTCACAATTAACAATATTATATTTCACAACTTATAAGTTGAACAGTTCGTTGTACATCAAAAATAAATATCACTTCGTTGATTTGCCGTATCCGAGTATTGCAGCTTGCTGAAACATGGCGACCAAAGAATCCATCGTTTCCTCCGCAGTCGGTATAATTTGATTTGCTGGCAGAATAAAACCGTATCTTCCTGTATCTCGGAGCTCGTATGTAAATGATATAGGAGTCTTGTACGTTCCCCGTACCCAATCCATCGATCCACCAGAAGCAACATCTGAAAAAAAAAGAAAAATAGATCACACGTGTAATTAATTTCTTCGTTCGTTTCTGAAGAGTTTATTTTCAGAATTGTATCATTTCTAAACGATACAAATTATAGATCGGATAATGGAACTATTCGAACGACAGGGATTCATATCCACATTTTTCTAGCAAATTGTTTAGAAAGCCCAGCCTGCAATTAAGCTTTGTCGATTTCGTCACAAGGCCAAATACCATCATATCACGTTGCTAACTGACAATGACAGTGAACGAGGTTCAACATTTCCTTGTTATAAGCTCCACGACGTTTCAAAGTCTTTGATACTTCATATTACGATTCAATCGGTGTAAAGGCTCGGATTACTAATTAATGGACACTGCAACCTCGCTACTGCACGTGGAATCGAATGGCAATCGCGGACCTTACCAGATCTGGGAAGAGAAGGAGGAGGCTTATCACAGCTCAGCGAAGCAATTGTTAAAAACTCGTTATTAAAACAAACAAATAGAAAAATAAACAATTTCTTAACAACTTCACAGTGCAGTTTTACACAGCAGAAAGAACCATTAAATTTTATATCTACTATTTTGTATCTATTAATTCTACTTTCATACATTTGTGGATTTTTCGTAATCAAGGTGACACGAAGGTCAACCTATTACAGGTCTTTGGATTGTCCATGATCTCAACTATAATGCCACACTGATAAAAGTATGTAGTCCTTTTAAAAAAAAACATCCATGACCTTGAAATTACGAAAACTATGACCTTGAAAAAATTGTTTGCTTACCATTAGATTTGCCCCCCCCCCCCTGAGCGATATATTTCCACCATCTGTAATTTTTTCCCTTCATAAAAAAATAAGCAAGATATTTAGGATGCTAAAGTTTCTCTCCAATACCGTCTCGTATAGGAATGCCCTCGTTGTGTCTCATCGTCGAAGGAGAATCTCGCCTAATCAATTTCCCAGACCTAACCCAGACCTTCGTCTATTTCAGTACTCTTACTTAATGCACGAATCAATCTACTCACATATCACGTCGACGATGTTCCCAACCTTGTATTTCGTCCCGTATCTTTTCGACAGAACGTTTATGGAGTAGTTCCCTATTCGGAACAAATCGTTGTAGTTCTCGACCCTTTCGTTCGAATGCCCGTAAGGGATGAGCAACAATTGACTGTAGCTATGGAACGCTACGTAAGCGAATATCTTGTCGTGTATACTGTCTATATATTCTGACATGGTTCTTGTTTCTGTTTCAGAGAACGGCTTGTCCCCTGGATAGATTTCGCTGCATGGATAAGAGCTGGTACCACCCTCTGAAACATTCAGTAGCAGACGTATAGCATCGGAAGAAAGTTTCGAATAAATATTTTTATATACAGGGTGTCCTAAAATAGTTGTATGCCCTTGAACGGGGTGATACCTGGGGTGATTTGAAACAAATTTTTCATTAGCGAAAAAGTTCTCCGAGGCTTTGTTAACGAGATATTAATGAAAAACCCCGACCAATCAGAGGCCGAGTCTGTTGGGTGACGTTCCGCGGTAAAATGTCATTTTTCATCGAAACTGGACTTAATGTAGTTTGGCTCTAGGGTCGAGATATGGTTTTTAATATTTTATTAGATCATAACCTGCCCAATGGAAGTTCCAATTCCGGTTCGGATCAGCGCCGACGCATCCCCTTCCAGTTGGTCGTCTAGTTTTTCGCCAGAGTCGATTCTAAATAGAAAAATATTGTAGTTCGCACCCTGATTCCGGTTTTACCGTTCGATCAATCACATTCGCACAATTATCGTGTATTATATTGATATCTGTCGGTCAGACATAGGAGCGTGTATGCTTTGATTAAAAGAAATTGGAATTGATTTTAAGTTTCTTGGCTAATTATAGATAACAAATGATAGCCGACTACGTAGATAAGACTAATCAGGTCAAACCCAGAATTTATCGACGATTGATGCGTAGAAATATAGAGTGATCGGTTTCTAATGGTTTACAGACTGTCGCGATTTCTGGCCAATTTTTATGTTTCTACACAAAATAGAACGAACCATTGAATAACATACTCTGATGTAATTGGAATTAAAAATTCGCTGTTACAGTAAAATTTCGACGCTTGGTAAATAATATTTAACATTACAGTAAATAGTTTTAATGATTTACAATAAATATCGAAAGTTTTTGTATAGTACGAAGACCAAAGAACTTCCATATAAAAATTGTGTAATATAATTAGCAAATACCTATTTAGATTATAGGGAGATTGTATACAGAATGTATCGTATAAATATAGAATTGAACTAATTGTAAGGTTTGCTGGTGTCACAATAATATGACAAGAAAACTTTAACGTGGAATAATGATAATCTTATTTCTTTCTTATATTTCTTTGTCTTACGATTTTTGTAAAATGATCTGTAACACTGTGAATGTACATAAATATCGATTGTTTCGATAATAAACTCAAATTATTGCATGTCGATACTGTTAGATATAATAAATCTGTATACTTCGAACTTTGATAAAAAGCAATTGGTGAAAAAAATCTTACATCAGTTCGTTATTATCAAGATATCGGATACAATTAATTATCTTCTATCTCACAAATCAGAACGAGTGAACAGATATGTTCACAATAAAATCAAGCACAATAAAAAGAAATTCTTTACATGTGTAGCTCACAAAGGTAACAAAGCTAATGCAATAACCCAGTCAGTAATCTGATATTATTTCTCAAAAAAATTAAAAAAAAAAAAAAAGAAAAAACGTTTGTCTAGGCAATACAATCGAAGTTGAATAAAATTGAAAATGTAAAGAAATTGTGTACAATCTACAGTGTATCCGGTCTAACCTTCATCAGGATAGAATGGAGAAAGCTTTCAGAGGCTCACAGTACAGAATAGTTGAAATTAATAATTCTAATACATTTTACTTCTGTTAATTCAGTTTAGAAAACTAGTATTTCTTAATGTACCGTTAAGTCATTATTCGAAGTGATCAAGTTAGCTGATATAATAAGTAATACAAAATTTAACGATACTATTTTTCTAAACAAATAAACTAAAGTAAAAGAAGTGAAATAAATTAGAATTATTAATTTCAACTATTCTGTACTGTCAGCCTCTGAGGGTCTTCTCCATTCTATCATGATGAAAGTTAGCCTGGACACACTGTAAATTGTAACTCTGCCCTTGGAAATGCTACGATCTATCCAAACAACCCCCACTACAACAATAGTAGGTGCTTAAGTGAAAGTTACGAAGTGTTTTTCATTACCGTGGTGTGCGTGTACTCGTAACCATCCGGGTTGAATACCGGGAAGATGTACCAGTCGTAAGACTCGGCCATGTATCGAACACGGGGATCATCGCTGAGGATTAATTCATTCAGGATGTACGTTACAACCGCTGGCGATATCCATTCTCTCGCGTGTATTCCGCCTTCGAGGAATATACCAGGATTGCCCTCTTTGTAAGAGAGTTTGACACCCCTTATGCTTCTACCCTCGTAGCTGCGACCGCCTGTTAGGGGTTTCACGATTTCTGAATGCTGCGTAACCAGAGAATCTAGCCAACGATAAATCTGAAAGTGGAATAGTTTGTTAGATTTTAAACGGATTGTTTTGACGATTTTTTATCTATGACTTAGCAAACGAAGGGACAAAATAGTGACCCAAAAGTGAGAGGATTTTTGGTCCGACAATTTTGGAACTGAATTTTGTGTCAAATCATATCTTATGATGAGACATCAATGATAGCAATTTTTCAAGTTGAGCCAATTAATTTATGAGATATAGGAGGTCCAAAAAGTCAAAATTCATCGACGCGTCAATATATACTCTTCAGTTTTTATTTTTATTTTTATTTTTCCCAAAAATTTTGCTGACTGCTAACAACAAATTTGAACTTAGATGTGCGAAATTCATAATTGCCGATTCAATAGGCTGAACAGTGTATTTAAAAGACACTTACTATACCGACATTTAGTTTCCTTGATTTTGATTTTTGTAAATGGTGATGGGATGGGATGGAAGATAAATATTCCTTTAGTTTCGAAAATTTATTTTATAACTTTTTTACGGTACGATTATAAGACCAAAGTTTTAGAAAAATTAGAAAAGTTTTTGATGTACGGTCCGTTATATTGAATCTGCCTTCGTGAATTTTGAAAACTAGTTCGATTTAATATCGATATTTTCGACTTCGAATATCAGTCTCATAATTTTGAAATAACAATTTAAAAGTCTGAGCGTTATCTTACCACGTCCAATCGATGGTATCCCAGCCAGTCGAACATTCCCCGCAAATTTCCTCGTGGATTCTCATTATCGATATACTGCTGGACATTGTCCATCATCAGCTCTGGATCGAGTTGCGTCTTGTTAACGGCTTTCATGAATTCCTGAAGCTTCTCCGGCGATATCATAACGTCCATGGTATTGTTGATTCGGGGCAGCCCCCAGAAATTGTAACCGTCATCGTCTTGCATGTTTTTCAGCAACTCCAACCCAGTGGTGTCCGGCACGAAGATTTTATACAACCTGTACCCGTCGTATCGCATCTTCTCCTCGACACAATTCACTCCAAGAAGAAGAAGAAAATTCAAAAATATCACATTCGTCCACATGATCGGATCTTAGAAATGGAATTAACGAGAAAAACTGTATCCAACGATGTTAATATTAATTTACACAAAATCCTGCGACAGTTATCCAAGGATTCTCATTTTTCTATTGAAATACCCTTTCTCAGTTTGTGTTCGATTCGTGTTCCAATTTTAAACGTGTAATTTTGTATTTCCCTCGATAACTGCGTGTTATCCTTAGTTCATTGCTCTTCGTTCGTGTCACAATCTGTTTATTTATCGTTTGGGCATAGAATTGGAAGTTCCTTCAGCTTTTCAGAGAGAAATATATGCCCTTAACGGCCTCGATATTTTTCTCCAGATTTGTATTACTCACAATTCCCTCGATATCTGCGTTCTATGGTCAATAATTTATTGCTTTCCGTTCGTATCCAGGATTTATTTATTTATCGTTTCAGCGTGATTCTTTTCGTGTTTCGAAGCAGATCAATGCCCTCGGCAGAACAACACTTCTCCGACTGAGAAAGTTCTCAGCCGTTTACGCTGAGGAGACCGAGCAGGAAGCTACCGATACCGGTTCCAACTACCAAGTGAACCTCGCTTCCTCGGGATGCAACGCGTGTATGCGCGAGTTCGCCGAATCCTACCGTGGCTTTATACACGCGAGTCGAACCGCAGCCGGTAAAAATAGTCCTGGTACGTGAGATAAGTGTAAACAAAAATACGGGCGGGCCAATTTGCATGCAGGGTAGACCATGAGAATTCTCGCGCGAGCTGGAAGACAACCGGGACCTCCTGATGGTTTAAAGACCTCGGAGGTACCGTTCGAACGTTTCGATAAACCGAGGTTGTCGACACCCTGCCACGAACAGATCTGCCCTCCTTAGCTAAAGTCTCCTGATTAACATTTTTTAAACGTCCGATAGAAATGCGGCTTTATCATTTTTCGACGTTCTTTGGTTTCACGATTAGGACATTTTAATGTAGGAAATGTTTTATGTCATATTTAGTTTACTTTTCGTTACTGACAATTTGAACATCAATAACAATATCCTTTCATTGATAATGAAAGAATATGTTGCTGACTGCATAAATTTAATAAATGACGTACTTCTTTTTCGTAGGAAGATCTAAATTCGATTGTCAACGCAATTCATGAATAAAGAATGAAAATGGTTACGTTGTTTCTTACACTATGCAGGAGCAACAAGAGATAATTGAAGACCTCCGGGAGACTCCTCGAGAAGTCGATAAAATCAGATAGGGTACATAATTCGCGTCTACTAATTGCCACGCTAATGAACGAGTAAAAAAAAGGCAATTTTCTCGTTAGATCCTGTACACATTTTTGCATAATGTAATTGTGTTAAATAGGACGGTGAACGTTGTTAAGCGTTGTCCTTCTTTTTCTTTGCCAGATGAAGGCGTTATCGAATGGGCACAGTTAAGTCTACGTGGTATTAATACGAATCTGCGTTGAAACCAGCAAAATTCTCATTACGATAGGGTTAATTTTCATTATTTGCTTGTAAACACATTTCACAACGTTTGAAAATTGATCTCCTCTTACGTTGACTTCTGTATTTTTTTCAAAATCATTTGTGAAAACACAAGCAGCGTAAACATACGTTTGTACTTAATATCATATGAGTAGTATTTAGGCTGTAAAATACATGTTAATTGATTTAAGGGAGCAACGTAAAAAATCGTTAAAAAATCGACTTTCGGTTTCAATTTTCAGTCAAAGTCTTTCTAAGCACTTCAAGACCAATTTTAACAATTTCTGATGAGGGAAAGTAAGTGATTTTCAATTTTCAAAAGCCTGTTGACGTATGAAGAGGTAAATAATAAGTGTGATTATTTTTTGGTATTATAGTGGTCCAGAAGAAATAAAAGCCGAGGAAAACAAAGATTTCTTTCAAATTCATGCACCGAATTGGTAAATTTATTTATCCTATCCACGAACGACTAAAACGTTCTGAACAGCATGACGAAAATTCAGGACACAGCTGTTTCGAAATATATCTATCCAAACCGGAGAAAAGGGTATCTAAAGGTGGACTGCTTCAATCGCATTTACATCATCACACGAGCATAAGTTTTCATTGTCACGAATTAGATTCGAAGACCAAAGAACGTAGATTAATATCCTCTAGCGACTCAGAACTAGTAATAATAAGAACATTATTAAAATCGCAATTGTTTGAAACGGTTGATAGGGTATCGCTGCATGCGTACCCCGTTTAGTTCACTTTGGACAATGCTTATAGCGTTATGCTGACAGCTCTCGTCTTGACCAAGTATTAGATTTGAAGCTTAAAGAACGTAGATTAATCCCCATATATTCATAATAACAATAACTGATCATAACACTGTTAAAATCGCCATTAATCACGGAATACCATTATTTTTTTGACCGGTGGCGCCGCCCGTGGCAAATCGCTCAAACTGCTAGCCAAATTATACCGACAGGTGAGTGAAAATTTCCGTCGATGGGAAAATGCTAATATCTCAGTAATTAGGAGATCAAAATAAATGTCCTTAGTCTCAAAGTGTTCCTGACGACTCAATACGTAGCCTCGATACTACAGAAACGCAGAAATAATCAAATTATTTATGCATATGATAATGAACACCCCTATGGAGCGGCAACTGTAATTGCAGCAGGTTCCAATCGCATTTACACCTTTAAAGGAGCATAACTTTTCATTCTCAGGCTTTGGATTCCAAGATAAAAGAACGTAGATTAATATCCTGTAGCGACTGGGAATCAGTAATAATAAGGACATCATTAAAATCACAATTATCTGCAACAGTTGACACTGTGTCTCGTCATGCGCACCTATTATAGTTCACTTTCAATAGCTCATACAGTGTTATGCAAACAGATTTCTGCTTGATCGGGCATTCGATTCGAAGCTTAAAGACCGTAGAGTAATATCCGCCAGCGACAGAGCACCAGTAATAATAAGAACATTACTAAAATTACAATTGTTTGCGATGGTTGACACTGTGTGTCGTCATGCGTACGTCCTTTAGTTTACTTTGGATATCTCTTAAAGCGTTATGAGGACAGATATCGGCTTGATCAAGCATTCGATTTAAAGCTTAACGAACGTAGATTAATCTCCGTATATTGGTAATATCAATAACTGACCAGAACACTGTTAAAATCGCAATTAATCGCGGAATACCACTATTTTTTTGACCGGTGGCGCCGCCCGTGGCAAATCGCTCAAACTGCTAGCCAAATCATACCGACAGGTGAGTGAAAATTTC